CAATCTCCGCCTCCTGGGTTCAAGAGATTCTCCTGCCTCAGCCTCCCAAGTAGCTGGAATTACAGGCATCTACCACCACACCCAGCTAATTTTTTGTTTTGTTTTGTTTTGTTTTCAGTAGAGATGGGGTTTCACCATGTTGGCCAAGCTGATCTCAAAACTCCTAACTTCAGGTGATCCACCCACCTTGGCCTCCCAGAGTGCTGGGATTACATGTGTGAGCCACCGCACCCAACCCTGATTAACCTTTAAAGTAAAAATTCTACGGTCCTAGATGGCATGTAGAATGTATTACGGCTCTGGATTCAAATACTAATCAAAACCTCTCATAGGTCTTTTTTTTTTTTTATATAGACAGTCTTGCTCCGTCACCCAGGCTGGAGTGCAGTAGCACAGTCTCAGGTCACTGCAGCCTCAACCTCCCAGGCTCAAGTGAATCCACCACAGCCTCCAGAGTAGCTGGGACCATAGAGAGGTACATGCCACCATGCCTAGCTTTTTTTTTTTTTTTTTTTTTTTTTTTTTTTTTTTTAAATTTTAGTAGAGATGAGGTCATGCTATGCTGCCCAGACTGCTCTGGAAATCCTGAGCTCACACAATCCTCCCACCTCAGCCTCCCAAAGTGCTGGGGTTACAGGCATGAGCCACCACACCTGGCCCAACCTTTGAAATCTTCTAGTCTTACCATGTTCTAACCCTCAGGTACCTAAAATTTTTTTTTTGGTAGAGACAAAGTCTCACTGTGTTGCCCAGGCTGGTCTCAAACTGCGAGGCTCTCACATTATCCTCTTGCCTCAGCCTCCCGAAGTGTTGGGATTACAGGCAGGAGCCACCATGCCTGGCCCCTAAGTTTTTTTTTTTTTTTTTTGATCACTCCAAATCAAGCATGTTGTAGGTACCAAAATTCTAACTCAAGGTGGCCTATGAACTGAGTTCATAACTTACATCTACCTATATATGGTGGTTCCTAGGCAGGGAGCTAACCTTTTAGATATTCATAAGCTATCTTGGAGACACATGCCATTGAGTACAGTAACTCTGCTGGGACTCCATATGTACCTTGAAAACTATGGAGAGCTAGTCAGGTGAATGAGACTGACCTGCCACTTGGCATCTACACATAAGGTATTCTACACTGAGTTTTCACATAGGTGTGCTAAGGTTTTAATGAGTCACTTAAATTCAATTATTCCCCAGCATATAAATTCCCCACAAAAAAATATAGTATATATTGCACTTGACCCAAGATGATGAAACCAAAAAAAGACAAAAAAAAAATTTATTGCCATAAATTAATCCAGTAGGCATATCTAAGAAAGCACGCATCAGTTGGTTAGGGCAATAAGCGCCTCTACCACATTGCCCATGTGTTCCCGCAAGCTGCGTTCTGCTGCTGCTCGAGATATCTCCATCTCAGTCATCTGCAGAAAAAAATCATGTTACATAGGTTCCCAGGCATTAATGTGCCACCAAATATACTGACTCCACTTGTTTCAGGAAACAACCCAAGTTAAATAGAACAAGCTCCCCTGGTCATACACTAGAGTTAGGCACTACTACTCACTATCAGTTCCAGATCTTCCTTCTTGATAGTGACTTTTGCCAGTTCTTTCTCCCTGCAAATATTTAAATAGATTAGTCCTCATTCTCAACCAACACCATAAACTCCCAGTAATGGTCATTCCCAAATGTGCCCTGTAAAAAAATCTTGGCAAATACTTGATTGAAAACAAAAACTCCCACTAATACTCCTTTCCCCTGAAGTCTTGGGAGCAGGCCTTCTGCTAACTAGAGTAGTAAAGTTGTGGCGCCTAGATCTGCAGGAATTGGTGATAAAGTTGAAGAACGGTATAAAGGCTTAATAATGCTTTTTATTTTCGTCTGGGGAGTGGGGAGGGAAGAACTGTTAAAGGTGGCTACCCCTGAAGACTTACCGCTCCTGTTTTGCTTTCTGCTCCCGGGACCTTCTGTCTCCAATCACAGACATGGCCTATGGGAAAGGCAGGTCTAGTTACTGCTCCGCTACCCACAATTCCCAATAATCTAAAAAGCAAATAAAACAAGGGACTCAGGTATGAATTCAAGATGATAAGTGTTACCAGGTAGCAAGGACTATGTTTAATTCCATTCTATACATCTGAGGTCCCCTTTAAGCCCATTATCAAGCTTCTTTAGGCAAGGGCGGGCTCTGATGACCGCTGTTTCCCTCGGCTCTATCCTATTGCCGCCTCCTGCCATGGGGACCAGAATCCCGTCTTAGGGCGCTGGCTTCCAGCTACGTACACCCTCAGAGCCTCCCTCTGCTCTCAGCCCGCCCCGACACGTTCTTGGCCAACCTTACCGTCTCCAGATTGGAACTCTGGATCTCCTTCTCCTCTGCATAGTCGGTGACCCGCTCCAAGTCCGCCGCACCGCTGTCATGTTTCCGTGGCTTCTCGGGAGGTCGCTCTGGGCCACTGGTCTCGGTCTCCAACTCCAGCTCCACATCCCCCTCGGTCGCCATAATCTATTTCACCACGCCGCTGCATAAGCCCCACCCCACGGCGACTTCCGGCAACTGACACGACTTCCGCCCGGGGAGGAGGCGGGGCTGGCCCTGGGCCGCACCTTCTTTCTGCTCTAGTTCTAGAAGCTTCAGTGAGGAAGGCGGTTGTCTCTTAGACTTCCTTTAGGGCTTGTACAGTGTTGCCTTCTGCAATGCCTTCTGTCATACCTAACCCGTCACCGCTCCGGCCCGCCCCACCGACATCCTTCCCCCGTCTTAACCTAGGAACAGTCACCTCACCACATAGACACGCACGCACCTCAGGGAACTCCGTTCAACCTGAATGGGTGACGTCTAATCCTAAACCAATTAAGAATGCTAATCCACAAAAGACCAGATAGGCAAACAGCCCTTAATCTGGAGAGAACAGCCTGAGTAGTCCCAGTGGTGAGGCCCTGAGGAGAAAAACTCCTTCACAGGGTATTTGCATTTACCACATCGTGGAGGTTAGTGTCGTCTTCCCGATGTCCCCATTCTGCCTGCGACGCGGTGCTCAGCCCCAGCACAGTGGAAGTCCAGTGGGCTGAGGAAAGCAGCAGCTGCTGCTCTCATCTGCCTTCTGTCTGGTGGACCTAAACCTAATCCCTGGGACAAGGATGGTGGGTGCCAAGGCCAGCCCCGGCCCCAGCACCTCCCTGGGCCTGGCACAGCAGCGCAGCGGAAGCAGCAGTGTCCTAGTGAGAAGCCCCTTCTGTCAGGTGAGAGGATGCAAAGGGAAGAGTGGCTGAAGCTGGGGAGGAAAACTTGCAGAAGCCAGTAAAAACGACTTTTCTCCTATAATGTCGTTCTGGTTCTTTGCCTCTGGTAATCTGTAACTCTCTCCAGCCTGTTCCCTGTCCCAGGTGTTTAGGTCTAGAGAAAGGTCAGATATCTCAAACGTGCTTGTAATGAAATCCCTACTGAGTTGTCAGTGGAAGGCAATCCCAAATGGCTGCAACCAGCTTGAAACAGAACCTGAGTCAAAGAAAGAAAGGGGACAGGGAAATTTTGGAATTCAACCTCCTGGGTTAACCTCACACATACATTAACGTATGGCTTTCCTCAGCAAGTCCACCTCACCGCCTTGCATCTGCTCTACCCCCAGGTGTGCTGCTGTGGGCCTGCTCCTTGTGCCAGCTGCTGCCACTCTAGGTGGCCCTTTCTCACCGCATCCACCTGCAGCCGCTTGTTCTACATCTTCCTCCATGTGGGGGCCTCAGCAATCTGCTGCCTCCTGCTGTCAAGGACAGTAGTGGAAAGGGTGTGGGGCAAGACACACAGGGTAAGTGAGAGGGGGTCAGGTCGTCAGGTGGGAAGAGATAAAAGGAAAACCGCTGACAAAAGAGATTTGGGTTGGGGACAGGAAACAAATGAGTGGTCATACCCCATGACAAGTAGGTACCTTTCCATGCATTATGATTTGTCCTGCCATTTCTCACACACACACTCCCAGATCCAGATGCCCTCAGGCTTGTGTGCCCACCTGTTTGGCCTCTCTGACTGTCCAGTGCTCAGTGGTTCTGGGGCTGTGTACCGAGTATGTGCAGGAACCGCCACCTTCCACCTGCTGCAGGCTGTGTTGCTGGTCCACCTCCACTCCCCCACCAGCCCGCGGGCACAGCTGCATAACAGGTTTGTGTGTACCTTCTGGGTGGGAAGGGGACAGAGGGAAAGTAGACACAAGCTGGGTAAAGGAAATTCCAGGATGAAGTAATAGCACTGTAAAAAGACAGAAAACAGGTTTAAGTCCCTGCTTCCAGTGTACTTGCTGTGTGACCTTAAGCCAGAAACTTAATCCTCTTTAGGCTTCTAGTATCTAAAATGGAGATAACAATGGGGTTGTCTTTGTAATATAATCCTTTATAAACTGTAAAACATTGCCCACATGATGTTATTTAAGTATCTTTGAGTTAGAATTTGGAATAAGGTACAATAGGCCTGTCCCCTCATTTGTGATTGGTTCCTCAGTTGTCTCGTCTGTCCGCTTTCCTGTATTTTTGCTTGCTCTCTTGCTTTTCCCCATAGGCAGTCTTCACTCTCCTTTGCCTTTTCTCCTGAGTCTGGTTTTCTCTCCCTCCTAACCAGCTTCTGGCTCCTCAAGCTGCTGTTCCTGTTAGGTCTCTGTGCCCTTGCCTTCTGCATTCCTGATCAGCATTTCTTCCCAGGTAATCTCCCTCCCACACTCTGGGGGAGTAGGCTAAGTTTTCTGGCTAAGTTTTCTAAGATAACAAGCAGGTAAGAAGAGGAGTAATGATTTGACCACATTTTTCCACTGGTTTCCACTTGCAGCCTGGCATTACATTGGCATTTGTGGAGGCTTTGCATTCATCCTACTACAGTTGGTGCTTATTACAGCTTTTGCCCATTCCTGGAACAAGAACTGGTAAGGGGCACTTAACCCTAAAGGCTCTTCCTGGGAAGGTTTCTAGTATTACTTTATGAAAAGGGCTGGGCAAAAGGCATGGCAGAGCACTGGTCCCGCAGTCTCCCACTGAGCAGTATCAAAAAAGCTTAGGAATGTGATGACTCTGTGGGCCAAGTAGGATGGAGTCACACCAGTCTTCCGGGAGCAGGGGAATAGTTGGTAATAGGTAAAAGAGTTGGAGCTCCAAGTCATTGCCCACCTTTCACCCTTAGGCAGACAGGTGCAGCTCAAGACTGTAGCTGGTTCCTGGCTGTCGTGCTGGCCACCCTAGGATTCTACAGTATGGCAGGTGTGGGAGCTATGCTCCTATTCCGCTACTACACACACCCAGCTGGCTGCCTGCTCAACAAGATGCTCCTCAGTCTGCACCTTTGCTTCTGTGGCCTCATCTCCTTCCTCTCCGTCACTCCTTGCATCCGCCTCAGTGGGTACATGCCCTACCACATTCCAGATTCTGGGGGCCTTAAAAGCGTATCGAGTTTCATTATCTCCCTAATCTCAATTATTTGATAAAAGAATCTCTGCTTCCCTACCCCCACGAGGAGACAGTAGTACAGATGGGGGTAGGAACGGAGGAAACACCCTGTAGACTAAAGCAATGATACTCACTCCCCAGAGCAACCCCGCTCTGGCCTTCTACAAGCCTCTGTCATCAGCTGCTATATCATGTATCTGACCTTCTCTGCGCTGTCCAGCCGTCCTCCAGAGAGATGTAAGGAACAGGATCTGGATTCTACATGCTAAGACCTTGTTTTGCCCCTGCCAAATACCCAGCTCATTGTTCTTCACACCATCTCTTCTGTGTCCCTTCCCAGTAATCCTTCAAGGACAGAATCACACCTTGTGCCTGCCTGGCCTGAGTAAAATGGAACCCCAAACACCAGATACCTCTCTAGCAATGCTGAGTGCTGGCATCATGTATGCCTGTGTGCTTTTTGCTTGGTGCGTAAAGATGTCAAGGGTAGAGCTTTGAGAGGAGGGAGGGTGCCCAGGACAGGAAGAGATGGTCAGGAGAATGTCTGGGACCATAGTTCATTTCAAGTTTAGAGCAAGACTAGAGTGAGAAAAGTTCCCCACAAACAGGGACAATTTCTAAGAATAGTACTTTGTCAGATGATCTCTATGAGATGAAGGAGGCGCGGCGGGGGGGGGGGGGTTGGAAATGATTTGAGAATGTAAAATATGTGCAAAGATCTTAGGGCTCTCACATGAATAGAATTCTAAATCTTTGGTGGAAAAGGGCACAGGGAGTATGGTACCCTCTTTTGAGGGTTACCAATATGGACCAGTTGGTAGTAAATGCCCCCAGATAATCCCTATTTAACTAGACCAGCTTAAGAACTTTCTTCTTTCTCAGCAATGAGGCCTCCTACCTGGCTGAGGTATTTGGACCCTTGTGGATTGTCAAGATTTACAGCTATGAGTTTCAGGTGAGGATAAACAGCTCAATATCCCCAACACCCCTCCCTCCCTCACACAAAGACACACACATCCTACCAATCTCTACCCAGAATGTTCAGATTCTAGCAGCTATTACCTTTTATTGAGTACCCACAATGTGCTAGGCAACTGTGCTAGATACTTTTACATAATCTCATTTAATTTAACCCTCACAACAACCCTGTGAGGTAGGTATTTGCTCCACTTTACAAATGGAGAAATTGAGGCACAAAAGATTAAACAGCTTACCAAAGTCCGCACAGCCAGTTATATGATGGAGCTAGAATTTGAACCCAGGTGTGCCTTCACTTTTTAATACTAGACCAATCTTTTCACGGGGGAAGTTTCCTAGATTAACACCCTCACATATTTTAAGACCATTCCAAAACCTGCATTCTGTTTTGCAGAAGCCCTCACTGTGTTTCTGCTGCCCTGAAAGAGTGGAGGCAGACGAAGGTGAGTGTCAAGTGAGGAGCCATAAGAAGTGGTAGATCTCTGTGGAGTGCCATAAGAACCTTCAAGAACCTTAAAGAAGGTAGCTGGGGGAGAGTGGAAGAGGTGTTTCAGCAACACTGCTCCCAGCAGCCCTTTCATCTCTCCAGGACAAAGGGGTGGGGCTGCTAGGCCAGCTGACCAAGAGACCCCTCCAGCTCCTCCAGTCCAAGTCCAGCATCTTTCCTACAACTATTCTGCCTTCCACTTCGTCTTCTTCCTTGCCTCACTCTATGTCATGGTTACCCTTACCAACTGGTTCAGGTAAGATGGAGGTGGGCCTTAGATACTCTCCTGACGATCTAGTTATTTTACAGAAAGAGCAATTCAAGGCCATTCCAGATACACATGGGTCTGCTATTACTTTGGGTGACGAGGTAGAACGGGTCTAAAAGCTAAGGCCCTTTATATTCTCTAACCAGAGCCTTTGGTTACACAGCTATGAGGGAGCAGAACTGGAAAAGACCTTCACCAAGGGTAGCTGGGCCACCTTCTGGGTCAAAGTTGCCTCATGCTGGGCCTGTGTACTCCTCTATCTGGGGCTGCTACTGGCACCACTCTGTTGGTCCCCCACCCAGAAACCCCAGCCCCTTATTTTCAGGCGACGAAGGCGACACCACCACTGCATCGTATCCCCAGATAACAAATATCCTCCAGTCTAAGTCCCTTTCACAAATGGGCTCCCCTGACATTGTACTCCTAGAGTTGGCTAAAGGGGAGCTGTCCAGCCCAGCTGAATACATCAAGGATACAATGGGGAGTTATTTCCCTTTAGGCTAAAGTCAGTACTATGTCTGAACTGGAAGAAGTGGTCAAACACACTCTAATGCGCTGGGCAGTGTCTGACTCACTGGAGCTACTGTTCCATCTGCATCCCAGCTCAAGAGCCTAACTCCCAAACCAGCAGCTCAGGAACCACTGCTGATTTTAGCAGACAGTGTGGCACCAGCCCTTTCCTGGCTCTTGGGCTGGAAGTAGGGGTGGGGAAAGACCAACAGGGACTGAAGACAGCTCTGCCCTTGGAGAAAGGAAAATAAGCAGTTCAGCCCTGGGCACAGGGATATAAGAAGCCCAGAACCACAGAACAAACCAGGGCATTGGAAGAAAGGAGCAGAGGCTACCCCAGGCTTTAATTCTGATCTTGAGGTCAAGGGAAGCGGGAAGACAAACACCACCCTCATTCCATGAGGAATGACAGAAGAGAATGTTAACATTTGACAGCATCTGACCACGGAAGTCGGTGAGCAGCAGGATTTTTTGGTCAACTTTCAAGCAGACGAACAAACTGAGGAAGAATGAGGAAGAGGGGCATAAACACAGATCTTGCAGCCTTCACTCTTAGGCCAACTCCATCCCAGAGATGGTGTTCAAGGGTGGGGAACAAAAATCACAGAAAAGAAGTCTCTATGGTTCTTAGAGGATTCCTCTACCACATATCCGGAGTACTTGTTTGGTTGTCATTGTATAATAAAGGCTTCTTCTGTGATGTTTCACTTATTAAGCCTACATATCCACAATCTGAGTCTAAAGAGTTCTCCATTTTTGGTGGGAAAGGGCAGTCATTCCTCCAACCCCATCCCCCCAAGTCCCCAGTCAAACCAGGCGCTCAAGGAATTACAAAGCTACTTTTAATACTTTGGGGTGAGCCCCACAGGAATAAAAAACACTGGGAAGGGGTAACCCCCTCATCCCCGGGAGTGGCCCAGGGGTAGAGAGGCTACCTGAGGGGAAGGAAGCACAAAAGGGACCCGCTGCAGACTCAGGGCAAAGGGAATGCCATCGGTGCTGGGACCTGTGAGCACTACAGGAGGAAACGCGAGCGTGGTGGGACTGGCTCCAGGCACACAGGCGAAGGGCAAGAGGGTTGGACACGAAGCCACAAAGCTACTTGGGTTCCTCCTTCTTCTNGGAAAAGAGAGCCTCTCTGCTTATAAGTATCTCCTCCTTGTATCCCCAGGTAGCAAGATTCTATGTAACCCATTTTTATTTTACTCTTTGGGGCACCATTATTTTCATTCGGCATAAGGGTGGCTTCAGATAACTTTCCATAGCAAGGCATTGCATGTTCCTCAAGTGGAAATTCTCTAGTCCAGTCTTTGTCACTGGGAAATACAGTCTTTTTGCCATAAGCCCCAATAAATTCTTCACAAAGAGCTATGAAGTGGAAAATTTGTCCCAACTAGCACTCCACCCATCCTTTAGCGTGTATTTTGTGGATTCAAGCAATCTTACTAGTTTTCATTTAGTGAGTCCAGTTAACGGTTCTCAAAGAGCAGAAGTACATGTCTTCAGTTTTATAGTGCTAGATAGGGGAAACATCCCCCAGTTAGATACAGTACTTATTTTCATAAGACATTTAGGTAAACGGGTTACAACTACCTTACATAAAGCCTGTTTAAACAGCTAACATTTCATAATTCTATTGACCTGTACGTTTTTGTGTTCTGGTCCCAGGAACTTTTTTTACTAGCCCCAGACCATCTTACTTTTTCTGGTGAAAAAGGATTTGGTTCCCAGCAGGGAGTTGCATCTTCAAAACCCAATAAGGGACAGCAAACTTGATAAGGCTTCTCAGACAGTGGTATGATTCTGCAGAAGCAGCAGCCATGTAAAAGGGCTCCTCCCTTAACCCCCAAAATTTACCATGAGCAGGGTAATAGGCATATTTGGTGGGGGGATATCCCAGTTATCATAAAGCCAGTCCCACATGGCTTGCATATGAAGCATACTAACTGCTTCATCTGGGATTCTCCACTTGGTATTTTATAGAGAGACCTGGGTAGTCCCTCCTCACGGCAAACAGCCCTTACAGTGCCATTTAGCTGGTCAGCTAGGTCATTCTCTGGGGAATAACCTCCTGTGCATTGGAATTACATATACTCATTAGTGATGGTTCAATAGTGAGCTGTGGGCTCTGCATCAACCCAAACAAGCTCTTAAATTCTGTAGTATTTAAAATTAAGGATTTTGTCCTTAAGATGGTTATTTTTGCTGTTTATTATAGTAAAGATTTCTCAAGAAACTGATGATAGCAATCCACAAAATGGAACAATTCCTTTACATTATACCCTCTGATTTTACATTATACCCTCTGGTATAGTTACTTGGTTTTGCCCTTCCCCTACATTGACTATCATTTTGGTAATCACAGGTCTCAGAACTAACTTTTGTTGCTCTGGCTTAATTTTTTATTTGTATCCATTTAGTTTTATCTGTATAATTTTTCCTTTATTTTAAAGCAACTCTTAAATAGATTCTTAACTAGAAAAAACCCTACATTTTCTTTAGCAAAATCTATATCCTTGAGTTTTATAAACTTCACCAAAGACATTTTCATGACTCTACAATTTTAACTTTTAGTAACCTAAATTCTCAATTAAAATTAAAAAACCCCGAGATTACTTAATTTAACATGACATGACTTTAAGATTTTAAATTTCTGGGGAGAGTTTTGAGATTAAATTTACCAAATTAATCTTACCAAAGATTATCAAAGTGACGTGAAATAAAAGGCATCTTCTATCAGTCTATTAAGTTCTTACTTTTTTAAAAAAGTTACTTGATTAGAGCTCTTTCATATAATTTGGTAGTGAAGTGTCACTTTCACATGACACATATAAAGACAGAGATATAACAGGCATACATAATTTAAAAAGGCAGATCCAAAAGATATTTCATTTGCCTATTTAAAAAAATCTCTCCTTTACTTTAGATTTTAAAAGTTACAGGAACCAGTAAAAGGTGAAGGAAAGTTATCATCCAAGGCCTTGTTTATTTATTTAATTTTTTTTTTAAATTACAAAGCTACTTTTAATACTTTGGGGTGAGCCCCACAGGAATAAAAAACACTGGGAAGGGGTAATCCCCTCATCTCCGGGAGTGGCCCAGTGGGAGAGAAGCTACCTTAGAGGAAGGAAGCACAAAAGGGACCCGCTGCAGACTCAGGGCAAAGGGAATGCCGTCGGTGCTGGGACGTGTGAGCACTACAGGAGGAAACGCTAGCCTGGTGGGACTGGCTCCAGGCACACAGGCGAAAGGCAAGAGGGTTGGACGAGAAGCCACAAAGCTACTTGGGTTCCTCCTTCTTCTCGTTTGCCTTTTTCTGCTTCTGCTGCATGATCTCCGAGTCCCTGGGGGTAGAGATGATGGGGCACTGGGAGGTACCAGAGGGCAAAAAGGACAAGATGCAGGGGGATGAAGGGCACAAAGGATAAGATGGAAGTGGATGGGACTAAGCTCAGCGTTTGGCTGCTGCATTCCCACCCTAGGAGAACAAGAGGAAGAGAGCTGAGGCTCAAAAGGCAACCAGTTTCCATCTGGCTGTTGCCCAAAGGGTCAGAAGTCTGGCGACACAGGCCCAAGGCTCTCTATTCTGTGTTGAGTACCACACCCAACAACACCAGTGAGTAGGTTGGGAGAAGGGAGTAGAACCGAACAGCAAGGAGGGCCAAAGTACTGGGCTGTCATAACCACAACTTTTTTGAAATGTGAAGCTCCCTGCCCTTGCCCTTAAGGTCAAACCCAGGCACGCTCAAAAATCAGACTGAGGGCAGTCGCCCGCCCCCGTCCTTTCCTGTAAGGCTGTAAGCTAACAATTTGGAGGCTGGGGAGGAAATAAAACCCTAGAGGAAGCAATGCACTCTGCTCCTCACGACTAGTCCAGATTCAAGCCCTGAGATACCTCTTTCCTGCTATAACCTTTGGTCTAACCCAGGTCTCCACCGTCCCTTTCCCTCCCCTCCCTGGGGCTACCTCTGCTTGCGGGCGGCAGCAGAAAGCCCGTCATCTCGGCGCTTTCCCTTAACCGAGTCGCTCTGCTTTTTCATATTCTTCTGGCGGGCGAGCTCTCGCTGGTTACCGCCTAAGGAAAGAAGATTATAAAGGTGAGACGCCGGGGCCGCTGTGCCCACACATCGGCAACACTTCTACCCCAGTGCGGCCAGCGGCAGGATCCAACACCACTTCAATCCCCCGGCCCCGACACCGGCCCGCTTCGAGGCCCAGGCTGCTTAGGGTAGGGGGGAGTGGCGAATCTGCCAAGGGCCAGGTTAAAATGCGGGATGGTGAGAAGAGGTCCCGAGAAGCCAGCTGGAGGCGTGATTCGGGGCGACGTGGGGCCCAAACAGCTGGCGGGGTCTGTGGGGACGGTTTGGGTCTCTGTGGGGGATGGGCTGGCTTGTGAAGCAGGGGGCTCTGGGCCTATCACAGGGGCGCTGGGCTTCTCCTCACACCGCAGAAGGTCCGGGAGGGCCTATGCCTAACGCGGGGGGGTGGTCCCGTGAAGTGGCTGTGGGCAAAAGGCTCGATTTCCGCGCACCGATTGTGAGGGTGGCTACAGAGCGCGCCCAGAAAAAGGCCTCGCCAGGGAATCTACGGAAGGCCAAAGCTAGCCACTCGCAGGTGATGTTTAGGGTGACGGGAAAGAAAAGGGCAAGGAGAAAGGGTCTAGATGCTCACGGGTCATGGCGACGGCAGCGGCTCCGACCTCCCTCCGTTACGTCCCCTCGTTCTGTCCGACGTTGCAGGTCCCGCCCCCTTCTCGCAAAGTAACGCAGTCGTCCCTTTCCTCCCCGCCCTTTCGCACCCGGACGCCGGCTCCCATTGGACAAGAAAAAACACGTGGGTCCACGGGCCGTGCTAGAGCCTGGGTGGGTAAGGGACTGAGAGTCGCGGGCGGAGCGCTCAGCGTGGGGCGGGGCCTCCCGAGCTAGGCGTAGGGCCGGGCGTTGAGAAACTAGGCCGGCTCACGTGGGCAGGGTGGGGGTGGAGGGGTGCGGCTGGCGATGTGGCGCTCCCGCGGGCTCCAGCACGTGACCGGGCAGAGTGACCTCATGCTGGGACCGTTTGGGGTACTGACAAAGTCGCCCTGAAGAAGCGCCGGGAGACGGAGGGTGGGGTTTAAACCAGTTCTGTGTTACCGGTACTCTACGACTAAACTTGTTCTTACTTAGGACCACCTCTCAGCCGCTTACTTGAACGCGAGTTGTTCTCAGCTCGCTTAAAATCTAGTACAAACTTGCCGGGCGCGGTGGCTCAAGCCTGTAATCCCAGCACTTTGGGAGGCCGAGGCGGGTGGATCACGAGGTCAAGAGATCGAGACCATCCTGGCCAACACAGTGAAACCCCGTCTCTACTAAAAACAAAAAAAAATTAGCTGGGCATGGTGGTGTGTGCCTGTAATCCCAGCTACTCAGGAGGCTGAGGCAGGAGAATTGCCTGAACCCAGGAGGCGGAGGTTGCGGTGAGCCGAGATCGCGCCATTGCACTCCAGCCTGGGTAACAAGAGCGAAACTCCGTCTCAAAAAAAAAAAAAAATAAATAAATAAAAATAAAAAAATCTAGTACAAACACAACTTAAGAAACCTGCTTCTATTCCCATTGTCCCCTTCCAGGCCCCTGCCACATCTGGTATTTCCTAAAAATCTGCCCTGCTCGTTTTCCCCCAGAAACTTTAAATGTGAAGATGCAACTTGGAAATACTGGAGGACTCCAAAAGTCACAGACTATGGAGTTGAATCAGTGGCTGAGATTAGATAATGCACAAATTATGTCCGCTTTTGCCCTCTGGACCTTTCCTCACTGTGTCATCTCCACCAGCCACACCTGGTTTTGTATTAAGACCCTAGAATAAGATCAAAAGCAAAAATTAGCCAGGCGTGGTGGCTCACACCTGTAATCCCAGCACTTTGGGAGGCCGAGGCTGGTGGATCACGAGGTCAGAAGATGGAGATCATCCTGGCTAATACAGTGAAACCCTGTCTCTACTAAAAATAAAAAAAAATTAGCTGGGCGTAGTGGTGCATGCCCACCTACTCAGGAGGTCGAGGCAGGAGAATCTCTTGAACCTGGGAGGCAGAGGTTGCCGTGAGCCGAGATCGCACCACTGCAGTGCAGCCTGGGTGACAGAGAGAGACGTCGTCTCAAAACAAAACAAAACAAAACAAAAACCCTGGAATAAGACAAGACGCAAAAATTAAACTCATTCTCATTCCCAGTTCCATTAATCTGTTTACAAAAGTCTCTACCAGACCTGAGGAATTAACGGGTTAAAGGAGAAATGCTTAGGAAATATCACAGGAAAGGATTGGTTGTAGATGTTAACTTGTGTCTCCCTCCAGCTACTGCCCACAGCACAACCAAGTTGAGGCTCGAATTTCAAGCTGGCTTCACCTCAACATAGAGCTGATGGAAAGTAGTAAATCTCAATCAGTACTATCCTCACTATTTCTTCCATACCAAACTAGCTGAAAAAATATTACTAAATATTTTTGTATCACTCTTAAATAAAAGATATAAATCAAACTTCATATTTCTATAGTAAATCTAAAATCAACATCACTTGCTCACAAAAAGTAAGTATAAAATGAAATACATAATTAAAGTATACCAAAATAGGTGGGGCATGGTGGCTCACGCCCGTAATCCTAGCACTTTGGGAGGCCAAGGCAGGGAGATTGCTTGAGCCCAGCAGTTTGAGACCAGCTTGAGCCACACAGACACCCCCACTTCTCTTTGGGTATTAATAATACCCAAAGTATGTCTTCTTTGAAGGTGTTAAGCCTGGAACTTAACTTTTTTGTGGTGGGGGGAAGGATCTCACTCACCCATACTGGAGTGCAGTGGAGAAATCTCAGCTTACTGCAACCTCTGCCTCCCAGGCTCAAGTGATTCTTCTAGCTCATTCTCCCGAGTAGCTGGGACCGCAGGCACGTGCCACCATGCCCGGCTAATTTTTTATTTTTTAATTTTTTGTATTTTTAAAGAGATGGGTTTCGCCATGTTGCTCAGGCTGGTCTCGGACTCCTGAGCCTAGGTGATCCACCCAGCCTCTGACTGCTCTTGAAAAGAGAAATTAACAAGTGTTAAAAAGTTTAAGAGAGGCCGGACATGGTGGCTCACCCCTGTAATCTCAGATCCTGCCATTGCACTCCAGGCTGGGCAACAAAGTGGGACTCTGTCTCAAAAAAAAAAAGGTAATAAGATACCCTTAGGCTGGAGTGCAGTGGCTCCATCTCAGCTCACTGCAACCTCCACCTCCAGATTTCAAGCAATTCTCCCGCCTCAACCTCCCAAGTAGCTGGGATTACAGGCACCCACCACCATGCCTGGCTAATTTTTGTATTTTTGTAAAGATGGGGTTTCATCATGTTGGCCAGGCTGGTCTTGAATACCTGACCTCAGGTGATCTGCCCGCCTCGGCCTCCCAAACTGCTGGGATTACAGGCATGAGCCACCACGCACGACTGGCATTGGGTATATCTTGATGAGCAGAACATATTCCTACAGTGAAAGATATAAAGAGAAAAAAGCTCTCTCATATACTTTCTCTCTGTCCCACTATCTCTCTGTCTCTCTAAAATGCGTATATGTATGTATATATCTGTGTGTCTATATATATAAATTTTTTTTTTGAGCTGGAATCTTACTCTGTTGCCCAGGTTGGAGTGCAGTGATGCAGTCTCGGCTCACTACAACATCCACCTCTTGGGTTCAAGTGATTGTCCTTTATCAGCCTCCCTGCTGGCTGGGATTACAGGTGCCCACTACCACACCCAGCTAATTTTTGTATTTTTAGTAGAGACAGGGTTTCACTATGTTGGCCAGGCTGGTCTTCAACTCCTGACCTCATTCGTGATCCACCCATCTCAGCCTCCCAAAGTGCTGGGATTACAGGCATGAGCCACCACACTGGCCTTTTTTAGTATTTTTTTTTTTTAGTAGAGACAGGGTTTCACCATGTTGGCCAGGTGGGTCTCAAACTCCTGACCTCAAGTGATCCATCTGCCCCAGCCTCCCAAAGTGCTGGGATTACAGGTGTGAGCCACCACATCGGCCTATATATGAAAACTGATTGTGATAATAGCTTTAATGGAAAATAACAGATTCCACGCAAGGATGATATTCAAAATGTTTCACAGTACGCACAGCATAAGCACTGACCCATAAAAACAGATGTCAGTGTAATTTGAATGAGGACTCTGTGAGCAATTCCACCTGGTATGAAGTAACTAAATAGTACTGCTGGTGCTATGGAGTACACCTGTGGACTCTGTAGGCTTTAATTTTGATTAGGGAGGTGAAGTAAGTGATATTTGAGCTAAAGCAAAAAGATGACAAGTTAGCCAAGGCAAGGAGGGAAGGGCAGGGAGAACATTTCAGGAGGGAACAGCACATGTAAAGGCTCTAAGGCCCTCCTCCTTCAGGTCATCCCATCAAGAGCCACAAGATTATTGTGTAGGTAAAGGGAAAGTCACTAATGCCTAATGAGCAGGGTGGTGTGAGACTAGTCAGATAGGGAGGTAGGGTTGTGATGAGATCCAAGTTACTACTGCTAATATAACTACTAGCTAACATCATGTGGGTTTTTATTTGGCACATTTAGTGTATTTTTCTTATTTGAGGCTTACGATGACCTTTGGAGGTGTCATTACCCTCTTCCTACCGATTTAGAAACCTCCTCCCAAGCAGGTTAAATAACTTTCTCAAGGAAACTGAGATAATAAGGGGTGGAGCTGAGAGTCTAACCCAGCCTGTGCTCTTCATCAGCAGAAGGTAAGTTTTGAAAAGATCACTTTGTCAGTAGAGAATGTATTACAGCAGATGAATAGAAATGAGACCAGTCAGGAGGCTATCACAGGCAACAGGCTCTAGGTCTCAGTTTAAATGTTACCTCATGGAGGCTACAGTGAGCTGTGATCACACCACTGCACTCCAGCCTGGGTGACACAGTGAGACCCTTCTCAAAAAACAAACAAATATTACCTCAGAAGTGGTTCTCTGGGAGGTGGAGGTTGTAGTGAGCCAAGATCGTGCCATTGCACTCCAGCCTAGGCAACAAGAGCAAAACTCCAACCCCCCCGCAAAAAGAAAAGAAATTCTTCCCCTTCAGCCTATACTCAAGGGTATAGTACTGTATGGCTAAGGGTGGTATTGAATGGCTAAGTCAATTAAAGTAAACTAATCTCTTTTAATATTGATTGGTTTAGGAATCCAGGCCTAAACAGATTATTTCGTGATATTCACCTGGTAACAGTTACTGGTACAGGAATGAGCATGTGGCCTAGATTAACCTGATCAGAGCAAAGGGAAGGACTTTTTGTCCATTGCTATGGGAGTGACAATGCTGTTTCCCACTGACATGAATGAGGAAAACATAGCCTATACAGCTCCTTGCAGCTCTAGTCTATCACCTAGAAGAGAGGCAATGTTAGGTTGAAGCAAATGAATAGCAGAAAGAATCTTGGTACTTGGTGATGCTGTTGGACCGCTGGATACCTCAACTGTAACATTTCTTCTACATTGAGTGCCCTGCTGTGGGAACAACCATATTTTGTTTGTTTGTTTGTTTTTGTTTGTTTAAGCTGCCTTGAGTCAGGTTTCTGTTACTTCAGTTAAATACATTTTAATCAAACATAGACAAGAGAAATAGCATATGCCAAGGCCCTGAGACGGGGATAAGTTTGGATAATTAGA